GTAGCGTAGCGCATACAGGGTGCGTTGAATAAGTTGACTATAGATTTTTAAATGACATTGAGTGTCCTGGTGTTGTTGTGTTAAACCACTTCGAGTTTGAAAGTCTTCTTTTGAACTATTTTGAAATATTTTAGAACCCAGACACAGTTCCGTAGTGTTATTAAGAAGGAAGGTGATACGAATAAAAACAGTTTTTGCTTCGCTTTGTATTTTTCTGTAATATTATTGTTTTAGCGGGATTCATATACAGGAAGAATCCTATTGGTTTTTGAATTAGCGTGAAGCAATAGATATACAAGGGGATCAGAGTGAATTTTTGTTAACTTAGAGAATTATTCTTCACTTTGTCTTGAGCAACTATTCATGGGATAAAGCAATAAGCGAGATAGTAAGTGAGCCTTGGGTAGAAGATAGAGTGAATATAATAAGTTGGTTGTAAAATTTTAAGGGGTACAATTCAGAAAAAAAAGTTAGTTCGTCATAGAAATGAAACCATTGCTGTCTGGAAAATAATCAAAAGAAAAAGTCGGAGTTTGTTTGAATGCTTCAGGCTTCATTTCAGGTCATTAAGGAAGCCAATAAAGGTGTTTTTTTTTCTGTTTGTTATTCATGTTATTGTTTTGTAATGTTTTGCAAAATGTTGAACTCTCTCCAATATATTCATTAACGCTTCAAGTAATGACAAGGACTAGTTACTGAAAGGTGGCACGAACGTGACGCTAGAAATGCAACCCCAATGTGTAGGCACCAGTGAAGTATCCACTAGAGATAAAAAGGCTATATAGGAGGGTTATCAAGGGAAAATGTGAGAAAATATACTGAAGGGTGGATAGAAACGTAATTAGACGGATGGTCAGTTAATCAGACATTGAAGTTCTTTAAATCTGGGTTACTTTTATTTCCGGAGGAAAGTGATTTTTTGGGTATCTAGCCAAGAGTTTCTGGGCGGATTTGTAGCAGGCACTTAAACGCTCTGCATATAGGGACGCTCGAATACTACTGCCGATGAGTATCGACCGTGGGGATAGGAGTCTCAATAAACGAATACTATTCCTCCCGTCGTATCGTTTTTTTTCATCGCACCCCATACGGTGGTACAGGTTGTTGGAGCTTTGTAGAATTGACGCTCTGTAGAGAGGGCGATAATAGAGGAAAATATGGAGGCAGACAGGGTTTGCTCACATAACAGGATTTTGAGAACACTTCGACGTTTTTCTAGGGAAAAGATATCTATCTCGGAGGAATATTATGGGAGGATGCTACATCCCCTTCTTCATAGAGAGAAAATTGAGTGAATAGTAGCCTAGGGCTTCAGCAAGGCATTGGCCTCAGAGGAATATGATGCGAAGACGTTGTATTCCCTGCCTCATAGAGAGAGAGAGAGAGTGTGGCTAGAAGCCACAGAAGCGGGTGATTGGTAGAACATTGCTACAGCGAGGTATACTCCTCAGAGCCAATTGGAATGAACTTGTAGCTATGAGACGTGCAGAGAAATAGAATTAAGTAAATAGTAGTCTATGGCTACATCAAAGCATGGGCCTCAGAGGAATATGAGCCAATCTTTTAGTAGCCACAGAAACAGGTGTTTGGTAGCCCACTGCTACTGCGAGGTATAGGCCTCATAGCCAAATAGGATGAGATTATGGCAAGGAGACGTGCAGCTAGGAACAGACACATAGTGCCTGTTATAGGAGTTTTACGAATGAAGTACTTATGCTCATCTATGAGCGGCTTTGAGAAATGCAGGAAATCGCATCCCACGATTTATAAACCGCTAATTTCATAGCGAAAATAGAAGATCATATCAATAGTGCATGAGATGTGAAGTAGGAACTGCCGAAAAAGGAGGGCACGGAAGGAGGGGGGAATGTTTCAATGAGAAAAAGGTGGCGAAAGAGTCTGTACTCCCGATATTGGATATCGCGAGAAAAGGATCCACCGCAGATATGGGTAGGCAGCATCATTTATATGAGGATCTACCGCAGATATGGGTAGGCAGCATCATTTCCGTATAAAGACATTTTTGTTAGTCATAAAATCTGCCTGAGCCGCTTAGATAATATTGTATAAGAGTAGAATAAGGTAGTGACTTGTGTTGTGTATTGAAATCATGCGTACTATGATTTAATTTTTCTATGTTAGACTGGACAATTGATTTAATAGGCAATCGCCTTGCTCATGGGAGAAGGCAACAGGGAATTGCCAACCTTGCATATTGTGGAGTAACCTTGCTAATGATGTCTGGCGTCATCATCCAAGGTGAAGACCACGACAGTATCGGAGTGCGACAAAGGAACTGATATTTTCGCAAATAATAGTTCGCGGCGAATAGACTATAATAAATTATAGTGTGAATCGCAAGCGGCAAATGATTTGCAGTGTGAGTGCCACAAGGGTATTTGCACAGTGGTACACCCAGCCCAGGATGAAGTCAAAAAGGTCAGAGACCTTCATGTATGATGAACGCTGACGCTGCTATGTACGGTAATATACATATATTATTACTTCAGGAAGAGACATATTTTTTTAATTGAGAATTTTTCAAACGCCGGATCTGTCTCTCATACAGTAACATCATGGCAGTTCAAGAGAGTGTTTATATAAACTATTCATCGGCGTGTTTTGAAAATATGCACCGTCACATATATGTGTAAGTTCAGCGAAATAGGTTTTCTGGTGGCCTCTGTCTCACGTGGGCGACTGTTACAAAGAATTGTTTGAGAAACGGAGGGGGGGAAATCCGTGATTTCTTTCTGGCTTTCAGAAAAGCAGGAAAGACAGAAGGTTTGGAGGAGTCTTGCGAAAGCCACAAAAGGATTCGAGGCTGAGCAGGATAGTGGCCTGGATAGGGAATTTATTTCGTTTTTGAGCGCGGGGTGCGAAATTTAAGGAATATCTGTGGCCAAATTGTTAGCTGGTATTGGGTACAGGAAAGTAGAAAATAAAAGTGTTAGTATTGAAGACACACCGTGTCAACGAAACCTAAAGAGGCGTTATGTATTTTTTTATATATACTAACCAGCTGATATTGAGGGACAGAGAGTTCACATATCATTTTGTCCGAGTTCACTTTCTATTCGCAAGAGTTTGAATATTGTTGTGTTCCTAGTATGGGTTGTTTAGCTAGAGTTCAGATTACAATTAAAAAAGAAAGCAAATTCGAGGTTATACACCGTTCTCCCTAAAGTAAAAGTAAAACTGAAAGTATGTTGTACTGAGTTGGTGCGTTTGTAGTTGTATAGGAGGTTAAGGAGGTGAGTAGCACAGTCAAATTTTCACAGTCTCAGTCTATCTATCAAGAAGACAATAATAAGTGAAAAGTATTTCAACTAAGATTGAAATTCCGTTATAGCATATACAGCATCATTCTGGAACGATAAAATGAGAGAGAACTATAAGTATGTATACCAAATAATCAGGTTTCAAAAAGACCTCTTCTTCGTGCAGAAGGGCGAATTCAAGCCTCTCTCGGAATTGCCTGACATCCATAATTGGATGTGGGGAAATCCGCATCTGGTGTCAGCAGCTAGCTGCCAAAATTAATTTAAAAAGAATAAGTCAACCAGAAAGGCGCATGTATCACACTGGTGGCAGTTAAGGGGGATTTTACTAGGATTTTTTGATTGAGAAATCTGATTCCACTGTTCAGTGGCGTTATTGCGGCTCCGCACCTCTGAATCCATAAAGTTTGCGCATCAGTATTTCGTGATTAGAGCAGTCAAATGCTTTCAATGAATTACAGAAAATTGCAGCTGAAGCCTCCCGTTGAATTTAATTCAGATATAGGGATTCTAAGGAGATGAAAATGACGTCCCGTGTATTTTTAGAAATCCAATCTCGAGACATTGAATTTGTTGGGAAATGAATTATTTTTTTTATGACGTTCCCAACAGTTTTCGGGAGTATAGATAGTGAAAAAATTGGTGTGAAGTTGAGGAGCATGTCGTAATTCCCACCCTTAGGAAAGGAAATGCCCTATTCGAAACGATAAGTTAGTTGTTTCTGCCAGTACATTCGGTGCATCATCAGATGGGTTAGGAATAATTTTCACCAAAACATCATCCTTTCCCGAAAACGATTTGTTTTTCATTATGCCAATGACTTCTTTCATATTGCTTTCATCTGCTTTCAATAGCAGATTTCTATCATCTTCATGACTCCAATCAAACTGTTCGCGCTCGTATTTATTAATTGAAGGTTATTTATTGAAGGTTATTAAAGTTTCCTTGGGTAAGTGATGGTGCAACTGACCAAAGTCCTTAGGTGTTAGTGGCCATCCCTGCCATTATCATAATTATCATTTTTATCATGATTTTTTCCAAAGGCTGTGCAAGTCGCACCTTTTTATCCAAAGCTCCGATACTACGGAGGACGTACCAGCATTAATGAACAATGACCACTTTCCACGCCATGAGGGGAGTGATCACTGTGTTCGAGAATCATGACAGCCTTTCACGTTTTTCCGGCCAAGACTTTTGCCTTGATGCAACAAGCCGGTGTGATCTTGAGATCTGAGAGTAGAAAAATCATCATTCTACCAAGGACCCCAATAATCGATAACCATTATAAGTTCCATTATTGTTATCATTATTATATTTTTTAAAACCCCATTAAGCTAATAAATGATTTATGTGTTTCTTCATGAACCAACTTTATATATTCCTAAGACCAATAATATTATGAATATACAAACAGTATAGTGTGAGAAGTTGAATATTTTCTTCGAAAATTTTTTCAACATGATTACAAAATATTAATTTTATACTCATTATTCAATTCTTTCAGTTTTCAGTAGTATTCATATTGCCTATCTGAAAATACAAAACAATAGTGCAGTCCAATATCAAACATTTTTGCTTCACTGATAATATTTCTGTACGTATTTGAACACTTCACCTAAAATTATTTTCAGTGCTACCCAATTCATGAATATTGAACAGGGTTTTATTTTTTAAGCGTAGGAGATATGGACATTCAATTTCCAATTATTTTTGTTACAGGACCCACGACCTCGCAACAACTACTCTGGTCCTGTATTTGGCGTGGTGGGAGGTTCCTATAGTTCGGTATCCCTTCAAGTAGCGAATTTACTGGGACTGTTCCATATTCCCCAGATATCCCCCGCGTCTACCGCCAAAGCTCTCAGCGACAAAACTAGATTCAAATATTTTGCACGGACTGTACCTCCAGATACCTTTCAATCAAGCGCTCTGGTGGATATCGTTAAAAGCGTCAATTGGTCTTATGTGTCGACTATTTATTCGGAGGGTTCCTATGGTGAATACGGAATTGAGGTGTTTCACAGGGAGGCCCAGGAGAGGAATGTCTGCATCGCTACCGCAGAGAAAGTTCCCAGTGCCGCGAACGATAAGGAGTTCGAAAATATCATCGGAAAACTCAAAAAGAAAATCAATGCCAAAGGCGTGGTGCTGTTCACAAGAGCAGAAGATGCAAGGTGAGTAGGTGTTTTAAGTTCATCGTGGAATTCATCACTCATAACTCATACATTTCCTCAGCGCCATATTATGATCAGAAACACCAGACCGTCGTATGACATTCTTTATTCATAGTAGCATTTTGACAAGAATATCTGTTCTCCGAGAAGTTTCCCTGCTTCTATTATATTAATTTTTGATATGGGTGAAAAAAGACTCTACATAAAATTTTGACTCACTTCCTTCATCAAGCGAAAAAATAAGGGAAACCTGTACGAGATTCATTGTGATCCATTGATGAAAGGTATGCTACTGTTGAATTATATTTTGACTTTTCCTTTTTATTCAACCGTGAATAATGCAAATATCTATGGTAATCAAAATAATTTTAGAGAATAGGTAATTGGGCAAATCAGTCATTAGTTTAAAACATATTTTTTTCTCGAATGGGTTATATATGATCTGAGTGAGAATTCACGTTGTTAGGAATATATAGATTGTATTACAAAACTGGGTGTATTTACAATCAGTATTATTGTGGTTCTTTTACTAACTGGTCTAAACGGCTTCTTATAATATAAGAGGAAACTTCGAAAATATCTCAGTGAAGCTGGTTCAAGTCTTGAACCCAAAACTTCAGGTTTTCAACTTCAAAACTAACAAAATTCAATACAATCTTCAAACTCCTATTTTCCCCCTTGGGGTGGAAATTCCTTATTCCTTTTCTTTATGGTTATTTACGCTATAGAAAGAACCTATCGGCATATTTCAAGATTCTAGGTTCAGTAGCTCCGGCTGTACGTTATTATGAGAGTGTCAGCCAATCAATAGGTATCCACTTATACAATATTAAATAGCATCAGCAAAGGAACTGAAAGAATTAGAAGGAAATACATTGGTAATTTTACTAATCATACTCCTACTAACATTATAAATGCGTACACTTTGTGAGGATGAATGAATGTAATGTATTTACTTTTTTTACTTTTCCACGCCTAAACAGCTCAACAGATTCGAATGTAAGTTGTTGTATAAATAGATCATGACCTGGAATAACACACAGGCTAGGTTCTCACGGTAATGCGGTAAAACAGCGGAGAACAGCTAGTCTAATATATAAAAATGGATGTTGGTTGGTTGGTTGGTTGGTTGATAAGCGATAAATTTCTACATCGCTCAACCGATCGTGATGGAACTTGACATGTATAAGTAATTTTTCATAGAGAAGGTTTTAAGGCCATCAATTTTTCAGTAACTCGCCACTAGATGGCGCTGTAGAAGAATTTTTTGAAAGCACTGTTCTATAACGCTGCGCACGCCTAAGTTCGTTGATTCTGATTCTGCCAAAACATTGGAACAGCAGCGATACACCAACATAATACTACAACTACTAAATTCTACGCGGGCGAAGCCGCGGGCAACAACTAGTATTGTATAAGTAGGTAGGTACCTATTGATTGACTGACACTTTCATATTAACGTACAGTCGAAGCTACTGAACCTAGAATTTTGAAATATGTTAGTAGGTTCTTTGTATAGCGTAAATAAGCATAAAAAAAGAGGAGTCAAGAATTTCCACCCCCAAGGGAGAAAATAGAGATTCAAAGATTGTATTGAATTTTGTCAGTTTCGAATTTGGAAACCTGAAGCTTTGGGTTGATAAAAAAATATTGTAAGTATTTGTTTAAAATGGTGTGACATGAAATTCAATGTAACAAACCATATTCTACGCGGGCGAGGCAGCAGGCAACAACTATTAATTGATATATTTTCACTTAAAAAATACAGTAACTTAAAAAATACTGCACTGAGAATTGAATTATGTTACCTACAAAGAAATTTCGCAAAACTAACACAACCGTCAACGACGCCTGCCCTCACGCAATGCGTTCTCGGCGATGATGTTTCATTGCTTAGACCGCCCCTCACATCGTCCCCCATCGTCTTACAATAGACGCGACGCTTAATAGCTTATTGCGTTGTGTCAAGTTAATCTTATCTTGGTAACTTTTAAACGATTCGTACAAATTACTTAGTGTAAAAGCGAAAGTTTATCAATATTTCATACTCAAAACGACAATTGTATCAATTTTCATAAGAATTTGACAGATATCCTAAAATGTGCATTGTTGAAAAAAATATCCATTTTGATTGTATTTTTGGCAGCAGGAACGGTTCGTAACAATACTTATATTATTGATAATCTTACAGCCATCGAAAATAGGTTTTGATATAATGATCATTGTGTTTGATTTTATAATGGCCAGTTTTTATTTATTGTATTTCATTGACATATTCTTTTAGCATTGTCTCTGTAATTGATATGGCTGTCTGGCACCTTTCCTTGTTAATTTGCATCAAAAAGCTAGAAATTCGAGTGAAGTAAAACGTGAAATAATTCATCCCAGAAATCTCGGGTAATCTGTTCAGTAACGATTAATGCTCCTGTGAGTGAAACATAAATCAACATTCCTAGCTAGAGTCGTGTTACAGACAGTCCAGCAAACTTCTTGGTGCGTTATTAACTATGGCCGACCCTTTATTCTGGTGTTCACAATACGTAGGTAAACATCTGGAAGCGAGTAGGTATATTTATATCTGTCTTCCATTTTCATATAAAAGCTCTGTTATATTGAATTAAATGCATCTATGAGTAGGAAAATATAATAGATAGTCCTAATATATTTGATATCTCACATTCGGCTTCAAAAACAATTAGATAATTGATGATATCTCATATTATTCCAGTTGGGTCTTCGTTGGGATTATGTACGAATCGAATTTGATTGGTCGGGTAGCCGGGACAACCTTTTGCTAAATGGTCATGCAAGGTAAACCCTTGTTGGCCAGCATGCCTCCGGTCTTCAATTAAAATTGAATAATATCCTGATGTCGGACTCATAGCCCAAAATATTCATATGATTCTGTTTTTCAAATGCGTTCTCGAGTAGAACACTTATCCATCAATGAGTAACAAATGTCCAGCTTTCTAACAATCGACACCAAATCAGAAAAACTAGAGGGGGTCGCTGAGAAGGGTCAATCGTCGGCCTGTACCCAGCAAGCCCCCGTAAAAAACGCATATGTTGCCGTTCTCCAACGACATGACAAAGGTGTTTTCGTAGACGGCCTCATCAACAACGAGCCTTGCACCATGCTGCTAGATACAGGTGCGACGGGAACCATTCTTGGGCCAACCTTTGCCAAAACACCGGCAAGGATGGAACCGTCGCAACAGGGAACCGCAACAGGGGAGCCAGCCACTGTACTTGGAGAACTACCAATTGAATTGGTGTTGGGCAGCACTAAATTGGAATATCGTGCATTGGTGGCGGACATCGAGGACGATGCGAACATTGGAATGGACATAATGAATTCCAGAGGGTTCGAGCTGAATGTTTAAGACGGCGTCCTACGTGTTGGCGGAGAAGAGCTGGTGCTTCATGGAAGAAACGAAGATACGATCAGGGTTCTATTGGCTAAAGACGTGTGCATACCTGAAAGGGCTGAAACCAACCTGGAGGCTCGCTTGGACGAAAGTGCGAGCAGCGATAAGGTGGTAATGTTCGAGCCCAAGATACACGATGAAAAAATTCGACCAAGAATCGCACTGGGGAAGACCCTGTTGCGTGTTGATAGAGTTATGTCGGTCAGGGTCATGAATGTCAACTACTTTTCCGTGACCTTGAAGAAAGGAACAATGCTGGGGCACTGTTCGTCCATTTCCTCTGTGATACGGAGTGTACACAGTTCGGTTAGCCAAGCCAACAACTTTTGCCTAAAGAGTTGGAGAAGTTGATTGACATTTCCTCCAAGGACATACCACCAACTCACCGATCGAAATTGAGGAAGTTAGTCAAATGGTACTAAGAAATCTTCGATATTGGAGAAGGAAAAGGCGGCAGAACGAATATGGTTCAGCACAGAATGGACACTGGGAATGCCCGACCAATCCGGCAATCAGCCCTCTTGCCAAGAGAAGAGAGACAGACAAGATAGTCAGCGATATGGGAAAAAAGGAGTCATCGAACCTTCTGACAGCCCCTGGTCTTCCCCAGTCATATTAGTGAAGAAGAAGGACGGCTCGACAAGGTTCTGCGTGGATTATCGCCAAATAAATCACGTGACGAAGAAAGACAGCTACCCTTTTCCAAGAATAGACGACACCCTAGACACGCTAGCCGGCTCCACGATTTTCTCAACTTTGGATTTGAAGAGTGGATATTGGCCCGTTGAATTGGCCCCAGAAAATCGAGAAAAAACAGCTTTCATCATCGGCTCAGGATTGTGGCAGTTCACGGTTATGCCATTCGGGCTTTGAAATGCTCTCATAAAAGATGTGTCTAGTGTATCTCGACGATATAATCGTGGTCGGAAAATCGTTCGTCGATCACTTGAAAAATCTGGAGGGGACATTCATGCGTTTGTGGAGTTCTGGATTGAAACTCAGTCCCAAGAAATGACATCTGTTCCAGAAAGAAGTCCATTACCTTGGCCACGTTGTTTCTGGGGAAGGAGTGGCGGTAGATGAACAAAAGATCAAAGCAGTTGAGGATTGGCCCATTCCAAAAAAACTAACATCAGCTTCGGAACTTTCTTGGTTTATGCACCTACTACCGTAGATATGTGCTGGGGTTTGCCAACATCGCCAAACCATTGACCCGACTTACAGAAGGACAGATCCAGTTCCAGTAGTCTGAGGAATGCCAAGACTCATTCGAAAAGTTGAAAAGAGCTTTGATCAACACTTCTTTTTTGAGCTATCCCCTACCTGACGGAAAGTTCATTTCAGATACAGACGCCAGCAACGTGGGACTTGAAGCAGTCCTTTCTCAGATCCAGGATGGACAGGAGAAAGTTGTTGGCTACTTCAGCAAAACACTCAGTAATCCAGAGCGCAATTATCGTGTCACCAAGCGAGAGCTGTTGGCCGTTGTCAAAGGTGTAGAATATTTCTACAAATACGTGTATGGAAGAAGATTTCTGTTGAGAACGGACCATACAGCTCTCAAATGGCTTCTGCA